TAATTCATCTAAATCCCTAGTGTTTTGACTTTTTTTAAACAATGAACACTAAGATTTGGATTCTATTTTGACTTTGTTTTTTGGTATGTTTTACATATTTATTTGTTTGGACTTTGAATTGTTTAAATTGGGTTTAAACTTTAATGGCTGCTTCAATGCTTAGTGGTTGGTATACAGATTACTCACATGTGAAAGACACTTATTTTTTAGTACTTTTATCGTAGAAAACAAATCTCCATGGAAGATGATTATGATGGGTGATTAATATTTATTATTCAAATTTATAATAGTACATATGACACTAGGTTTTTTGGTTTTAATGTTTAAAGCCCATTAAAGGCCCAAACCGTCTAAACCGGTCAGACCAGACCGCCTTTTCGTGGTCTGATTTGACCGGTCTGGACACTTGGTTTCAAACCGCTCGGTCTGAAAATTTCACAAACCGCCATTACGGTTTGGTTTGTGGTCTGAGGGCTTAAACCGCCCAAACCGGACCGCGAACACCCCTATCTAATTCTATCGTCGGTCCAATGAACCTCCCCTCCATCTCTGACATCCCGATATCATTGCTCCATGATTAATGTACTAGGTTTTGTTCATTGGTGTAAGGTTTTAGTGAAGTAACGGTTTATTATCACCTTCTTTTTTGAACCCACATGATTAATGTACAAATCAAATGGAATATTAAACTAAAGGAAAAGTCTATATTGTAAAGAAACAGGTGCATTGTGTCCTTTTTTTTCATCCGATTTTTACTTTTTAACACCAAGTTTTTACTTTGGCATAAGGTTTTAACGAGACAACAATTATGCATCATCACTCCTTTAACTCAAATATCTTGTAGTTATATTAAGTTGTAACCCATCCTCATCTAAATGAAATAACAAGGAAACTACCACTTAAGCAATTCATTTGATTTAACCATCGTACATGTCACGATCTAACAAGTCTCTGAATTTGACCACTTCGACAAATGAAATGAAAAAGGAAACTACGTATTAATTACCTTTGTCAATTTCTCCACGAGGAAAATGTGACATTTCACCTAACTTTATTCAAGTCATTCGTGACGTTTTTTTATTTTTAATTCTTAAATTTAGAGTAAATTAAACTGCTCGTCCCCATGATTTGCTCAAATATTGTATTAATGGTCCCTAATTTTTCAATTTCATAACACTCAACGTTCATGTCGTCAATTAACAACCGTGAAACTCAGAGCACCCCTTAAGGATTTTAAAATCTTTTTTTTTTAAGATTTCAATTAAACCCTGAGATTTCAAATCCGGACAATCAACAAACTAAACATGATTGGAATGGATTTGAAATTCATTCCATTCCTACAAACGTGACGAGACCTAAGATTTAATTACTCGTAGAATATTCTAATTTTACATAGACCACAAATAATAATAATAAATAATATTATTATTATTCATTAAATATTTTAGAAGTTTACTAGAACTAGAAGAGTATTCGTGCAATGCAACGGAACATATCTCGATTTTAATGTTCTATTTTATTATTTGTCTTTGTCGATGTTATAATACAATTTTATATGTTTTTAAGAAAGCAATAATGATTTTATCTTTGAATAAAATATAAATTTAAAGATATCATAAAAATTTGAAAAAAATATATCAATGTTAATATCAAAT